AGGAAAGAGGCCATATGAGCTACCCCATCCATGACAGAATAATGTTGATGGCCCCATTCTTGTATAGGATTATGCAAGTCGCCACTGCTCCTGAGTTCACATTTTCAACAGCCATCTAAATTCCAGAAGACAGTTTTCACAGCACTCTTTCCAGTCCTCTGACTCGATGTTCCTTGAGCTTTGGAGGGGATGATGTAGACATTCCATTTAGGGCTGAGCAGTCAGAGAAACTCAGTATGGCTTTACAATGCAAATTTCAATTTCATAGATTTGTCCTTGTTTTTCAATGGCAGATCATAGATATATGTTTACTTGCTCATCTCCTTTTTGTTGACTGGAACATTAATAAGATTACCTATAAACCTAGCATGGAATATATTTATAACACCACTACTCAAGGATGAGAGGCTGAGGCAAGAAGTTGTGATTTCAAAGTCAGCTTGGACGGAGCAGAAAGACTCTGTCTCCAAAAATTTGGGTGGGGGTAAGAAAGGAAGAAAAGAGTAAAAGAAGGAAAAAAGAGAAGAAAGGATGGGCAAAGGAGAGGACATAAAGGAGGCAGGGTAGGAGAACTACTATGGTGGAAAGAACTTTGTTTAATTTGAAGGATATTCCCAATGTTTAAGGATAAAATAGATAACCAGAGCCACCACTCTATTGAAACATATACATATGATATAAAATTAATTTTCTAATTCTTTACAAGATGAGTTATAGGATTCTAAACTTTCTTGACCAAAATATATGAAACCTGAAGAAATATTGAGAATAATTTATTATTTCAATAATTTAGTTTCTAACGGATTTTACTGATTAACATGTTTGCAAAAAGTATGGGAAAGACAGTTTTATATGTCCTTTATTAAAATGACCTCCAAAATACCAAATAATTCAGAGTTAGTGATCAGAGTATTTAAAATACCAGAAAATACACTCATTTTTTAATTTAACCTATAAAACACCTTAAGCAGCATAAGGAGTTTTATATACTCTGCAGCTATTTCTTTAAAAACATTTTATTTATAAATATGAATACTGGGCATGATAATCAATGAAGAATTCAATTTAGACTCTAAATCTAACTTCTTTTACAATGTACACTAAAATATTTAAGTTTAGACAGAAGACAGCCTTTCACAAGTTTGACGCAACTGAGGGTTGAACTCTCCTTTGGATCCCAGCTCTGAGCAACACAAACAACTAGAGAACTCACAGTTATTTTATCTCTGGTTCTGGCTGGAGACTTGGCAACCCAGTCTGTCCAAAAGATTACAGCATTATATACTGATGTTCCCTCCTGTTTGTCATTTGTACTTCTGACTTTTTTCTGAGACAGAGTCTCACTATGTAGCCTGACTGACCTGTAACTCACTATATAGACCAGATTGGCTTTGAACTCACAGAGATTTGCCTGATTCTGCAAAGCATGCACCAACTCACCCAGCTGAGCTTTAACATAGAAAACCAAACAAAACAAGCAAACAGAATCCCAACTTTTAAACAACCTTTTTATTGGGTTTTTGGATACTTACTAAAATTCCAATACTTGTTTTTACACTTGGTATTTTTACTTTTATTGTGACAGAGCCAACAAAAATTATAGAAGACAAAAACAAATTTATAAAGATGTCTGGGGGAGGTGCAGATCAGGGAGGGGATCTAAATACCATCAAACTATATTGAAAGAAAATTGCAAAAATTCAACTAAAAATAAAATTTAAGAAAAGGAGACATCCTTTACCTATTAGTATGTTAGTAGGGAGGCAAGATTTTGCCAGGCCTGGAAAGCTTGGGAAGAGTCAGGTCAAGTCTCTACCCTCTGAGGATCTTCCACAGAACAGGAACTTACCTATATGTGGGATTTTCATCTGTTGCCCCATAAAAGCCCCTGAGACTGCTTTTCTGTGAGACTTAAGATATTTACCACATTTGACCAAGACTGAATTTGAATAAAACTGTCTCCTCTGCTACCCTGACTAGTGGTAAACCAGCACTCCCACTGATGAGCCCTATCAGAGTGTTGTTAACTATGCCCCCCAGGACATACCAAGCCTACCTGTGAAGTGATTCCTGCTCTGTAAACATCTCCTGCACCCTTAATCAGGCCCTAGGCCCTTTACAAAGGGCAATCCACATCACTTTGACCTCTACCTAACCTCTCCTGTCCCTTGGATCTTTGTGGCTGCTCCAACAGCTGTTGGTCAGCCTTCACCCTTCCTGGACTAATATTAAAGTTCAATCTGGATTGTGGATTTGGTTGTTTCCTTTGTCTACCAGTGCCTCTGTTTACCTCTATTCCTAACAGCTACCAGCTACTGTCTCTGGATTGTTTCCATAAAGGCAGCAGGTTAGAGGACCTCCTCAGTTGATCTGGTTTCTGTAACAAATTGGCTAGTCCTAGTTTGTTTTGTTTTTGTTTGTTTTCTGTTTTGTTTTCTCTGTAGCCCCAGCTGTCTTGGCACTTACTATGTAGACCAGGCTGGCCTTGACCTCACAGAGATCTGTTTGCCTCTGCCTCCCAGTGTTATAAATTGTAACTTGGTTTATAACAAGGAATTCTAATCTTTTAATCCCACCATACAGTGTAAGATTTTTAAGTAAAGCTTATGGCCTGGAACATTGAAGCACTTCTTCCCTTTACACTGATTCTTTTAAACTAGCCAACTGGGAAAGACTGTGAGGTTGGACCCTGGTCAATGGGAAAGACACTGCACTCTTGTGTTAGAGATACAAGCCTACCAAGCTTCCTGGACCTGTGTGCTGTCTGGATCTGACTGACCAACATTTTGCTGGTAAGTAAAATCTGCCTTGCTGAATTAGCTTTGCTTTGTCTGTGCGTTCTTTGTGCAGTATTAATGGGGTCCTTGGATCATGGATTTTATTTCTAACACTAGGTATATATGTTTAGGTTTTTGGTATAATTTAAAAATTAATTTTAATTTTTATTTTATGTGTATGAGTGTATTGTTGGCATATATATATCACCACACACTGTAAGATTTATATATATATAAATAATATATACATTATATATATTATATATATATAATATATATATATGCACCTATGCATACATTTTCTGAGTAGCCTATAAGAGGGCGTCAGATCCCCTAGAACTAGAGTTACAGATGGTTGTGAGCTGCCTGACGTGGGTGCTGGTAACCAAACCCAGGTCCTCTGCAAGAGCACCTAGTGCTCTTAAGCCCTGAGCCATTTCTCCAGACCTTTGCCTGTTCATTTGTTTGTTTTCTTTTGCTTTTTGAGACAGGGTCTTCCTGTAGCCCCAGTTGGTCTGGAACTCCCTATGGCCTCTAACTCACAGAGATTCACCTATCTCTGCCTCTTACTGCTGGCTGTAATTAAATGCACCACCAAACCTGGCTTAGTATGTGTCCATTTAAATGGACAAAGGCAAATGGATCTCTGGATACAGGTCAAACCTGAAGCTAATCTTTTCATTTTATAGTTTAAGTTTGTCTAGCCAAAGCAGTTCAGGTTTGTGTTTTAGCATTTCATAAAGATATTTTTATCTGTCTTTAGGTTATCCTAAATTCTGTATTCAGATTTTCCTCACCAGAGTTTCTATAAATAGCATTTGAAAGCACCAAACCCAAATCTTTTTAAGGAATTAGATTAAAATTAACATTTCTTTGAACCACTATGCATATTGCAATATAATCTTATTTATTTATTCTTGACAAAGAAATCAAGGCAGTATTTTTTTCTGAAGGCAAGTTGATTAATAGATTCCATGAAGAGAGGTCTTTGGATAAATATTAACCAAGATGATTAGGATAATATAGGTACAATTATACTAAATGAAGCATATTTCATAGAGAAAGTATGAAAATAAAAGCATGAACAAGTCCAGGTATATAACGTAAAAGTCACACACAGAGAGGCACATTTTAAAATGAGATGTACTGACAATTTCATAGTTTAAAAAGACTCTTTAAATGTAGGGACAGATCATTGTGTTGAATTAAGACTAAAATACCTATCAATTACAGTGTCCTCAGGATACTGAGGAGTTTCATTCTATAACTTCAAATAGAATGTGAAGCAAATAAGGGCTTCTATTTTATTTATATCCCTAGATAAAATCAACCAAGTACCTTTATTTGGTTTGCTTTGTTGACAATTTAGCTAATATTTGTTCTACTCCTTATATCTGTCATAGAATCACACTAAACACTACATCGTTTTCTGGAGTTCACAGTTTGTAAGTGGACTTAGAAGTTAATTATTCTAGCTTATTTTTATTCAACTGTATAAGGAAGGTCCTCACCTCTTACATACTAAATTCAATCTATTTTGCTATATAAGAAGTCCTAAACAATTTGGCCTGAAACCCTAAGGAAAGGCACTGAAGATGTGGCAGTTAGAGTTAAGTTCATCTAAACATCAGTAAGATAAATGAGCAGTTGAATTTAAATGGTGATCAAAATGGTATGAATATTAGTAAAAGGTTGGTTTATCCCCCAGAAGGCAAAAGAGAAAGATTCAAGTCCCGTTTCTGAAATAAGTTGTGAGAATATGGAGCTGGATGAATGGCTCCACGGTTAAGACCACATACTGCTGTTGCAGAAGATCCAATTTAGATTCCCAGCATCATCATTAGGTGGCTCACAACCACCTGTAACTACAACTCCATGCAAACAAGATCTGGTGCCCTCTTCTGGGCTTCAAGGGCGTCTGCAAACATGCACATACCCAAACACAGACATACACACATATACATACTTGAAAATAAACCTTTTTTTAATTAACTTATGAGAAAATCAACATCTGATATAATTAAGAATTACATAAAGGAAATTATAGCTCATTTGGATGGCATACACAAAAAATGGGATGAACATGAAAGAAAAAAATTAAATCATGCTATTGGCAAAAACACAATGTAATCTGACCTTATACTCATTGTTTCTTATCTGTGTAAATACAAGTAAAAAGCAGCATTTTAGAAGTCATACAATGCTGCATCCATTTATCATGATTTATGTTATAGATGTGACATGGGCTTTTTCATGTGCTTTTTTAATGAAGAGCTTCCGAATTTTGTCTCGTATCTGCTTGGTTTTCACCACATAGACAATGGGGTTCATCACAGGAGGAATGAAGAAGTGCATGTTTGCCAAGGTCACATAGACATATGGAGGGAGCCTAGGACCAAAGCGGTGTAGCATAGATAAGCAGATCATAGGTGTGAAGAAGAGGACCACAGCACATAGGTGAGAGATGCAGGTGTTGAGAGCCTTGAGGCGGCCAGTGTGGGAAGACATGCTCAGTACAGTTTTCAGGATTAACACATAGGAGAGGAGAATGAGGAGGAAGTCAAGTCCCATGGTGGACAGCATCACAAATAGTCCAAAGATGCTGTTGACCCTGGTATTAGAGCAGGAGAGCTTTATGATGTCAGGATGCAGGCAGTAGGAATGAGAAAGTACGTTGGAGTGGCAGAAGTTCAGCCTCCTCAACAGGATGGGGAGAGGCACCTGTACAGTCAAAGTTCGCACAGCAATAGCCAAACCTATCCTGACAATCACACCATTGGTGAGAATGGAGTGATAATGCAGCGGGTGAGAAATGGCCACATAGCGGTCAAAGGCCATTGCCAGAATGACAGCTGATTCGAGATCTTGGAAAGTGTGAATAAAGAACATTTGAGTAAAGCAGGCAGAGGCCGTCATCTCTCGTGCATCCAGCAAAAAGATTCTCAACATGGTGGGGAATGTGAAGAGAGACAGGCCCAGATCAGAGGCAGCTAGCATGGCTAGGAAGAGGTACATAGGGGCATGGAGAGTCTGCTCCGACCAGATAACAGTCACAATGGTCCAATTGGCCACTAGGGTAATGAGAAACATGGCACAGAAGGGAACAGATATCCAGATGTACAGGTCCTCCAGCCCTGGGATGCCTGTGACCAGAAAGTAAGAGAAGATGGTGCTGTTGACAGGAAGCATGCTTCCAGGGCTGCCTGCCCCCCCTACAGTCAGATGAATTGCCAGCAACAAATGTTAAACACTGCCTCCATAACTTTTGTACTTTGAATCCGTATCCCTTAGCACTAATCCTTACTAAATTAATGAATCCTCTCCCAAATAGATTCTGAAGCTCTGTATGAGACAAAAGTAAACTTTTCCAATTACATAGTCTAGTCTTGATTAACAGCAATCCTTTATTTATCAACTTCTCCTGATGAGTTATATAACTGAAAGAGGAAAAACACTTTTTAGTGAATATGTCTTAAAATTGATGTAATGACAATTTTAAGATAAATTTTAAATGCAAATTTAAAGATTTATTGTTAACTGAAATCCAGTCAAAATGTAGAATCACTGTGCTCTAAGGTGGTGCATTATTCTAAGAAATTTCCTTTTGTCTTGGTTACTATAATTAACAAAAGTTAGGTCATGTGAACAGTTGTTTATGTAATTATAGCATTTTCCTGCTACTTAAGGTTGAACTTTGCCTGGCGTAGTGGTGCATACGTTTAGTCCCAGCACTCGGGAGGCAGAGGCAGGTGGATCCTTGTGAGTTCAAGGCCAGCCTGGTCTACATAGTGAGTTCAGGTCACCTAGGACTTCAGGGAGACCCTGTCTCAAAAAAAAAAAAAAAAAAAAAAAAAAAAGAAGATTGAATTTAATGTCATGTACATTCCAGACAAACAGTTTATGAATTAAGCTATAAACCTACCTGAAACTGAGATTTGCAACTGAGTGCATAAGCCAAAAACATCTGCAATATAATCTTATTTTCCATTAATAACGAATTTGACTGTCTTTTAAGATATGTTCTCAGTTTTAAACAAATTACTTTTTCCTTATATTTTACAATGCATTTCAAAAGAGTTTGCAGTGGATTGGGCTTTTCTTTTTTTCTTTTTATCTTTTTTTTTTTTTGGTCTTTCTGAGACTGGGTCTCCCTGTAGCCCCAGCTGTCCTGGATTTGCTATGGAGACCAGCCTGGCCTAGAACTCACAGAAATCCGCCTGGGATTAAATGCATGTGCCACCATGCCCAGTTTGGGATTTTCTTAATCTAATCTCACCATCACTAATTTTTAAATTTACTGTGTAAATGACAGATCACTCCTTAGTATGAACACAATTTCTGAAATCAGTCACAGTAGAAAATGTAAATTCTCTCCATATATAAACATTTATGACCTAAAATCATAACTTTTAAATACTCATTCAAATAGCATATAGACTTATTTCATAATGATAGTTTTGAATTTTGTATTTATTAATGCATATTGATAGTTTCACAGTAACTATACATAATGATAATAAGCAGTTACTTTTTAACTGATGTGTAACAAGAACATTTACTATGCTGCTCTAGACCTGGGTGTCAATATTAATTTTTTTTCTCTATTCAGGACAATATTTCATGTGTTTTGTCCATATGTCTAATTCTTAAATATATTTTTTGCTCATGGTACAAGTCATAGCTTGCACAAATAACTCATTTCCTTTAAAATTATAGACCTCTTCAGTAGTAACTATAACATGAAATATTTACTAAATGATTTAATTTTCATTTTCTATATTATGGCAACTCATTTATTTTAGAAAAATAATCTGTGGCTGTATTTAAGTCTCCATCTATGGCTTTCCAAACACTATTCTTCATGTCTATTTTATATAATTTTACATATCTATGAAATAAACACACATATTTTAAGGATTAATGCTATGAGCATTAATCACCAAAATACTCTTCAGGTGACTTGCCAGCCATTCTTCCCAGTCTTCTTTTTTGTTTTGTTTTTTTTTCCTGGCAGTTTCAGAGGCAATACCTTTTGGTCTCACTGGATGCTGAAACCCAATTCTGAGGTGGGGCTCTCGGTCAGCATCACCATACTCTTGTGTAGTATTCCACATCTCCAGTGTAGGATTTCCCACTTCATTCTATGTAGTTTGGGACCAATGAGGGAGGGGATTTGATAGTTTCGGAGAAACAAACCTTCAGGTCCCAGTTATCGCTCCTATTTGGTTAGATCATCTGTCCTCAATAATTTATACAAAGTCTCTTCAGTCTAAGTTTTGTTTTCAAAATGTACTAAAATGAACAGGTTTCCTCTCACCTGGCAACTTAAGACAGCTGAGTTGTCAATGTGTTGCAAACACAGCTTTCTCTTCTGTGATCAGGAATAAGAATGCTTGTAACCTAAACTGAGCTACCTTGTTATTTGAGCAGTTCTCTCCTGAGAAATAAAATCTCCCAAGACCATCTTTGTTCTTAATGTGAGATTCAGAATTAGCTTTCTTACTCCCCAAGGATGCTGCAAGAATGGACCAAGTGCTGAATACTTTTAAAATCTGTTTTCTTGAAACTATAATTTTCTAGATTAAAGTTCCATGTGGTAAATATCAAGGCTCTTTGTGTTAACTCAATTGTTTATGAAGTCTCTTTAATAGTGACTTATGTATGTTATGATATAATTTATATTTTCTTTAATGCATATGAGGAAGTCTGAAACATTTATTACTTGAAGGTTCTTCATTGAAATTTGTACAGTCCTGTCAATTCATATGAAGTATATCAGTGACATCCTATTCAGTGTTCCTGGAAGTTACACTGGAAACAGTTTACTGATGATGGTATCCTTCATTACCTCCTTGGCTACTTATAAACATAGATATCAGTGGGCCCCTTTTGACATGGAATTTTAAGAGTCATTAGAATATTCTTGTGTTATTTCTTACAACTTCTTGTGAATCTTGAGTAATGATAATACAGGTTGTTAAGCAATTCAGTAAAGTCCTAAGGAAATTATGTAAGTAGATTGTCTCTAAGTTGAGTTGGGTGAGACAATCTTAAATAATGCTGTTTCTAGTTAGTTTTTCAAAGAAGTATATCATTGTAACTATACAAAAAAGATGCTGTTTAAATTTTCAATTAAAAATAATTAAACTAAGGCCGGGCATGACAGTATGGTGGCATTTACCTTTAATTCCAGCACCTGGGAGGCAGAGACAGGAAGATCTCCATGAGACTGAGGGTAGCCTGGTGTACATAGTAAGTCCCATGCTAGATGGAGCTATAGGGAAACCCTTTCTGAAAAACAAACCCCAAAAATGTATTAAAATACATGCTGTATAAAGTGAAGTTTTGTTACAGGTATGTACTATAACATGTTTTAAGGAATTTGACAAACATAACATATCACATGCTTTGGAATGAGAATAGTTAAAATCTAATTTCTTAGACATTTTTAACTACAGTGTTATTACCTATAGCCATCATGTTATACACTAAATTTCTTGAGCTTTTTTATTTCTGTTGAAAATTTTGTAAGTTTTTACCAAGTCTTCCCATCCTCACATTTTAGTCCACTGCAATTCTACTTTCTGTTTCAGTGAATTCAACTATTTTTAACCTGAAACTATAAATGACATTATGCAGTATTTCTACTGTCTGAATTTTTATTTTTAATTTATTTTTAATTGGTACAAAAGATCATGAAAGTTACCAATATTATTGGATTATAGAATGATATTTTGAAACATATAAACCATGTAATGCTAAAATCTGGGCGAACATAAGTCTCTTCTCAAACATTTACATTTATTATGCTTAAAATGTAATAATCTTAATTATAGGAAAAAAGCATGCTTGAACTTCTAAGAGTAACACTACCTCTAACAGATATTACTATGTAAATGGTCCTAACCTTTGGCAACTGATGTCTGCTGGGAGGTAGAGAGACAGTCTCTTAGAGGAATGGGACTCTTGGTAGGTTTATCAGGCTCCAGTGGCTGTGCTAAGCTAAGGGACATGTGGGGACATAAATGAGACTTTACAGGCAGTTTGTATATATAGTGGGGTACACTGAATTGAATGAGGGCCAGAGAGGGAAAGTATGAATGAGGGAGTTTATATGGCTACTATTCAAATTATATTTTGTGAAAATTTCAAAAATTAAAAAAATAGTTCCTAAAATATGAAGAGAGTACTCAGATAAGATATTCAAATATATGGTCTGATCACATCCAAAGCATTAATTATTGCATATTATTTTTTTCATTGTTTTGTTGGTACATCAAAGCCTAGCAAGGAACAACTATTAAATAAATGTGACACTAAAGTTTGTGAATCCAATAATATATAACCACGGGGGTAAAGGAGAAGAAGGAACTCAAGAAAGGAGGGGATAATAGGAGACAGGTATTATCAAGGGGAAAATGGGGACATTTAAACTGGGGAGGGAGGAGGGAGGTTAGACAGGGAGAGAGACGAAAGATAAAGAAAGCTCAGGTGGCATTAAAAAAAAAAAAAGCCAGAAGAAATTTATTAAATCAAGAAAACCCTGAAAAAAGACGTACAATATCTGAACACGAGTTTGTGCATACAACTGAAGGCTACATAACAAGAAACACAGTGCCAGACAAGAGAAAACTCCTTTTAAGCTGTTGATCAATGTAGTACAAGAGACTCCCCAAATAACATAGGTTATTGACAGAGCCTTTGATTACCTCCTGCAACGTGAAAGTAAGACCCTACTGCTGAAGACAGGATATACTTCGAACACAAGACTTGGAGCAATGGAGCTGGAATTGACCTGGAAGTCTTCTCCCTGACAACTAGCTCTCATAGTTCTAGAAGATACAATGCAAGTTACTAAGGGAGAAAATCAATCAAAAGTCCAGCCCAGCTGTAAAGCCCAACAACCACAATGACTGACAGAGCCAACCACCTCTGTTGGCGTAGTAGTGGCACTTTTATCTAGGAGGTAATCAGCAACTTTCTAATTGTACTTAAAGCTCTTTCAGTGGTAGGGAACTTAGCGTCTTGCACAGTATCCTCCAGAACTATAAGAACTAGTCTTTAGGGAGGAGGCTTTCAGGTCATTTCCAGCTCTGTTGCTCCAAGTCCTGTGTCTGAAATATGTCCTGTCTTCAGCAATAGGGTTTTATGCTCAAGTTCTGAGAGATACTCAAGGGCTGTGACAGTAG